TTGGCCTGAAGCTCCTTGACAATCTCCACGGCCCGCTTGAACTGGGCCTTCTGCTCCTCCGTCGGGTGCACCGTGCTTGTGCCACCCCCGCACCCCTGCGGGCCACCGTTCTGCCACATAAAGTCATCGCACCCAAACGCGATGCTCGTGTCGAGCCCATAGATATCCTCGCTCCCGGGAGGCGACTCGGTGGGGATATTCTGCAGGATCGAGCGCAGCTCCGTGACGAGCGCGGCGGTGTGGTCGTTCTGCGAGGAGATGGACTTGGGGACTGCCTCCTGCAAGGACGGCGTGCCCTTGGGACGGACGGCGGCGGTGATGTTCAGGAGGTTCTGGGTCGGAATGCCGGTGATGGTCACGATTTGGTTGGGAGTTGGGGGCGCGAAGCCTCCGGTGATGCCTGCAGTAGTGGTTCGGCCTGAGCGGGTCGTTATCGGATGCAGTGGCTCGGAGACGCGTACCTTCCTGGAGGCGGAGAGAGAACTCGGGAATGGACATGGCTCGGGGATGTGTGCGTAGGAGTGTTCGAGTGGTGTGGGTGCGCGAGCGGCGTGTGCGCAGGGGGTGCAGGATGAGAAGAAAGAGGAGGAGGAGAGCAGGATGCTTTAAGGAGCCCGCGTCCGGCGCCTCGCGATGGTCACTGCGCCGGAGTCGCCGTGACGTCACAGCCGGTCAGCACACAACGCAGTCCTCCTTGAAAGACAGGTTGTACATCGTCTTGTCCACCGTCTTCTCGATCTTCTTCCAGTCAGACCGCCGCTGGATGAACTCGTAGATGTCCTACACACCCGTGGTTAGCCAATATCCCAACCGAACGGGCTGGGTACATACCTCTGGCCGGTACGCGCCGCCGTATCGCGTCACGTCTCGCACGATTTGCGCAAGGTCTTTGGCATCCTCGACGACGTAGACGTGGCCCAACATCTTCAGGTACGCAAAGTCGGAGATGATACTAGTCACCCGCAGCGACGTGATGAAGGTGTGGTACGCGTTCAGGTCCGCTATAATCTGGAAGCCGCCGTTCAAGGAGATAATCTGCCGCTTGATGTGCTTCTGGAGGATACTGCGCACACAGTGAGCTGCGGCCCAAGCTGCCGGCGACGACGGAACTTACGCAATGAGACGGATCCCAACCTCCTGGTAGAACACCTCCAGCACTTCTTTGCTCGTGCTGCCCTTGAGCAGCTGGCAGTGCATCTGTAGACACTTGATCGCCTCTCGACATCCCTCCGTGGGTCCGAGCTCAAGCGGACTGTCCTCCGGTGGGTAGTACTCCCGAGGTTTGGTCAGCTTCTGGATGATATGCTCGACCTGCGCAGCAGAGCTGTCAGTATGAAGATGACTACACAGACTAGACCGACGTGCCTGGTTCATCAGCGCGTCTGTGGCTGCATTAAGCCCGCCCGCGACGCTGTCATCCAGCACATCCTCGAAGTGCTTCTTTTCCCGCACCACGGGGTTTAGAAAGTCGGTCTTGTCTATGTGCGGGGCCTGAGGGATAGGTTAGTATGATATAGCTCGACTAACTGGGGCCACCCACCAGCTCTTTGTCAAAGTACACCTGTATCATCGACTGCATTGTGTCTCCAATGTGCACCAGCTCAAAGAACTGGAGGAGCGGCGCGACGCTTTTGGTCTCGTCGTGCTCAGCTGGCTTGTACGACCTCATCTGATCGATGGCACTGGCGTATGGTTAGCTCAGAAGCAGCGCCGTTGCGAAAGTACGCCTACGTACGTCTGGAAGCCCGGCTTGATGTGACGTTCGCCCAGAGCCTGCAAGAGTAGGACGAAGATCTCCTCGATCGTATCACGTACCCTGTGGCCATACGACCCAGGATAGCCCGAGAACGTCTCCGCGCGCTTCAGCGAGTCACGGTCGGCGTGGATGAGTTCCAGCGCCGTGTCTAGAGAGAGCAGCAGGTCAAGGTTGTCTAAGCCTGCCGCATTCGGGTTGGGTGTGGAAACTCGCGTGGACTGCAGAGACGTCGGCGTGGTACTGCTCGAGTCATCGGTCGTGACCGACACAGTAAGAGAGGCTGCGTGTGCGAATCGAGCCATAAGTCAAGAGATCACTTCTCGGAGGAGCGAAAATACGCACACCGCGGGGTTTTCTCGCTTGGCTTCTCGTTGACAACCTCTGCCTCCTCGTCCTCGTCGGCGCCGATATCAAACAACATCCCATCCCCGCCACCTTTTTCAAAGTCCCGCTGGTATCCATCCTTCCCGTTCGCACCCCAAGAGGGCATCCGCGCAAACGGGAACGCGCCGCCGCCCTGCCCCATTGCACCCGTTCCGCCCCACCGCTGAGGGTTAAGCATCTGGATGCCCTGCACCGCGGCGCTGCTGCCGGTAGTGATCGCCGCGCCGACGGCGCGCGGGACGATGGTAACGGGAAGGAGAAGCACGTCCGTGAAGGAAGCGAGGACAGTGCGCTTGACTTGGGCGGGGTTGTGTGAGCCGAGGAAGCGGGCGTGCTCCGTGTTGGCTGGTGTGCCTGTTGCTGCGCGGTGCTCCGAGAGCTAGAGATGAGCAATATGAGAGCGGTACGTGTTAAGTACGGGGACGAAAAGTACCTGCTTCTCCCATGATCGGCAAGTCATCTCGAAGCTTTGCTTGACATATTCAACCTCCTCGTCGAGGTACTCGTCCATGTTCGGCTCGAACATACGGTATCTGCAATGGTGTGAGGAGAATACGCATGTGGCAGGCGGGACATGACCTACACGACGTCCTCGGCTTTGGTCTTTGGTAGCTGAAAGTCTGCTCTTGTCGCGGCGACTTGCAGAATGGTGTCCACCATACGCCATGCCTCCTTGAAGCTCGCGGCACAGGCCTTGAGGAATATCTCGTTGGATATCTCTCGCGCGCGTGTGAGCAGAGAAGAGATATACTCTCCTACCTAGCGGTCTTGATGAATGTTTGTGCAAGACAATCGGTCCACGGACACTCACCACTTCATTGGCTAAACGGTCTGCGAAGGAGACTAGTACATTTGCTTCGGGCGGGAATACACGGACAGCGCGAGAGCCGTGTTCTTGCAGCGCGGCCAGTATCTCAGCGATGAACTCGTCCATGGCTGTAAAGTCGAGCTCGGAGTCCTTGCTGCGCGCAAATAAGCAGTGAGCAGCATGCTACCAAGGAGAGGGGACGTACGTGAAGTTATCGAGAGGTTTCCACTTGCTCTGCTCGTAGAATATCTCGAGCTTCTCCGCCCATACCTTTCCAAGCTCCCACTCGCCGCCTGAGCCGTCCCAGACCTCCCAGCTGGCCTCTGCGGCCTCGGCCATGCCATGCTCGTCTCCCTTGCCATCGGCGACGTCAAAGGCGGTGAGGAGGCCGTCCTCAAAGCGATCGACTGCGGCGCGGAGCGCAGCACTGAGCGTCTCCCAGTTGCGGAGGGGCTTGACGAGTGGTGAGAGGAAAAGGGACAGTAAGCGGAGGGTGTGGGCTTGGTGTCGGAGAGATGGGGCGGGAGAGGGAAAGAGATTGGAGAGGACGGCGTGGGGAGGGGAGGAGAGAGCGGGAACGAGGGGTTTGAGGAGCGTGTGTGCACGAATGTACTGCGCGCGGCAAGTCTTGGTGGAGGACGGACCTTGGGTGAACGCGGCGGGGGAGATGGTGAATGAGCCGACAAAGTCACCCATCTCTGCGGCGGGGGCGTTGATGGAGGCAAAGTCGCCAAAGTCATCGTCGAGGCTCTCGGTCGCGAGGGTCGGAGGGAGGTTCGTCTTGTCGAGCCCGTTCTGCACCTTTTGCTTGTCGTCCAGAGCATCGAGAACGTCGGCGAGCTTGTGCCTTTCTACGCCGAAAGCCTTCCAGCGTGCCTCCCAGACGCGCTCATCTTTTGCGAGATTGGCGAGTGCGCGAGAGCAACGTGCATAGGCGGGGATGTCTGGGACGGCGAGGTAGGTGAGGATGTGGATATGGAGATCGACGGGGAGGCGGCCGATGAGCTGGAATGGAGCATAACTTTTGGTGCGCGAGTGGGAGGATGGGGGGATGGCGGCAGATTTGTGGAAGGAGAAACGGTTTGAGGGAGGTGTGGAAGGAGCGTGGCCAGTGTTGTACAAGCGAACGGGCTCGAGAGTTGCAAACTTGTCCATTTTGTGAGAGACGGCCTATAGACAACGCGCTGTGTCTACTCTGTTTCTAACTCGACTCACGCATCGGAAATCAAGCAGTGCGGGAAGGTGGTGGTGGTGGTGGTGGATGAGAGAGCTGCAGAGCAGGGAGGCGAAACGCCGAGGTCGGAGTGAGCGACCGAAATGAGCGTCCTGACGAGTGCAACGGGACGAAAACATATTGGATTACGATGCGAGGGTTACTAGAGCTACATCTACAGCAGTCCGTTGTCGGGATGGTACAAACAAGTTGGAGGAAATTACGGCCTATGCCCGCAAGTGCGTCATGAACCTGGGGTGCAGCGATATATGGTATGTGTGCGGGACGTCGGACTATTGTAGGGTATGAGATATGGCGAAGGATGGCTGTGCTGCGGTCAGAAGCAGCAGGGGATGGGAATGATGTAGCACATGCCGCCGCCCTGCAGAGAACGAGGTGAGAGGGAAGACGGGGAGAATAGAACAGCGGAGGACGTACTGGACACGGGATGCAGCCACCACGGATACGCTCAGCCTTGTCTTCCTGCTTGGGGATGCTGTCGCGCGAGGGAGAGGCGAGAGACATGGCTTGGAGGGGTGCAGGCTGGGAGTGGGTGACCGCGCCGGCCTGGTGGGCAGCGGGTGGGTAGGTGACGGGGGCAGAGGGAGCCATGGAGGACGTGGCAGAGATCGTGGACGTCGTGGCAGAGGTCGTGGACGTTGTGTTAATGGTCGAGAGCGTCGTGCAAGTGCTCGTGGGGGATGAGAGCAGGTAAATTGGCCATCGAGGCCATCGAGGACTGCGTTAAGTACTGCGCTGCCTGCTCCAGTCCCCAGATGACGTCGTCCCACGTCCTTGAGGTGCCGACACATGGGGAGTACACATACCCAACTTCCATCGGCCCAATGGTCTAGAGGTAAGATACTTGCTTTGGGTGCTCACAGCACGATTGCAAGGGATCCCGGGTTCGAATCCCGGTTGGGCCCCTTTTTCGCCCGCCCCTCCGTGGCAGACGCCCGCCTCCGCGTCGACTCCGAGTTCGCGTTCGCGCCGTCCGCGTCGACTCTTGGTCCACGTCCACCGTCGTCCACAGCCCCGACGGCCAAAAGCTCGTCCCCGAGCACCTTCAGCCATGGTTCCCCGCTCTGTCCTCGCTCACCATCTCCGCGTCTCTCGCCTGGGCTCTACCCTCCCTTCACGCGCACGGCCAGCACTCGTCCGCTCTCTGGCGACACAACCTCCTCCCGAAAACCGTGACGCTCCTCCCCATTTTGTCCAGGAAAAGCAGCCCCCGCCCCCGCCCCAGACATGGCTCACTCGCCAAATAAAGCAGAGCCCGCTCGCAAGAGAAGCCTTCTTCAGACTCCTCCGCCTCCTGGGCTATGGTAGCGCCAAGCAGTACGCCGGTCGCAGAGCCTTCGCAATGTACACAAACTTGTGCATCCCCCGAGCAGAGGACGAGTCTCTCTTTTGGAAGCAAGGTCAGTCAACCCCTGCCCCCGTGCTTGTCCTCCGAACGTAGCTCATCATCTCCTTCAGACTGCCATTTGCCCCCCACCTTCCAGTCTTGGTTCACCATCACCAACCTCCACGTATGGCTCCTCACCGTCCGACTACGAGCCCTTCCCGCTCCCCACGGCACAAACTACATCCAGGGCCTCATTGACCACTTCTTCCTCGATGTCGAGGACCGTGTCCGCTCCGTCCTCCAACCTGCCGCTCCCAACGCTCTCACCCCTTCCCACAACCTCACTCCCTACACCCGCCCCTCCGACTTTTACACCGTCGCCAACGGCTCCAATCGTCCCCGACCCCGCGGCAAGGCTCCCGAGCGCTTGGTCACCCGCCAGATGAAGATCTTCAAAGAGCAGTGGGCCGGCATGGGCATGTCCTTTGACCTCGGCCTCGTCCGCAGCGACGCAGAGCTCGCAGGTGCCGTCTGGCGCAACCTCCTCGGCGCGCGCGGAGCAAAAGGCTTCGCATATCCTGCCGACGGTGTCGATTCCCAGAAGTACTTCCGGCGCACGGTCAATCTTGCGGGAGGTGAAGTCGAGAAGCTCGAGTCGATCGAGAAGCGGGGCGGACTGGAGGCCGAGGAGGCCAGGGACGACGGATCCGGCATGCACGACCACCCGCCGAGCGAGGTCGACAAGTACGTCGCGTATCCGGAGGCGATGGCGACCGTCGTCGAGTACGTGCGTCGAGAGCTGATACGGTTGGAAAGCATACCGGACGAGGCCATCATCGGACAGGGTCAGTTTGGGACCGAGAGCGAGGGGTTGCAGCAGATGAAGTTTGGCCCTGTGCGCTCGCAGGACGGACTCGTTGCTGCGCTGAGGGCGGCGGGGGACTCGATTTAATGCATGGTTAATTGGTATCGTACGTTGCACCTAATGATAGACCCTCTCATGAGAGCCCTCTCGCTGCGACGCAATGCATGTCTTCGCGAGTAGCTTTGATATTGGTAATGAGACGTTGGCGAGGCGCAAGGCACGGCGGAAAGAGCCCACATCAAGCGCAAAGTGGCTGTGAACGAGCAGAGATGAGGGCCATGCCACTTGGCCACACTCCCCGACGTCGTTTCCTCCTCCGCGCCCCCCTCGCCTCCTCCTCTGCGGCGCGCGCGATGCCTATCGACAGCAGGGATGCCCGGCGACGCGGTGTACAGCTCATGTCGCACGCCCAGCTCGCCCTTCGCTTCCTCGGGCGCTGTCTCCTTGCCGCCGTCAAACTGCCCATGATACCCCTTCTCGTCTGCTTTGCCGCTCTCTTCTGGTATGTCTACAGAGACGTCAACGACTATCTACCCATCAAGGACGTCTGGATTTACGCCTTTCCACAAGCATGGCGAATGTGGATTGCCTTCCTCATCGTCCTCCCCATACTCTCTGCCGTTCAACTCATCTGGCTTCTCGCGAGCGCGTGGATAAGCAGGAGCTTCGCCGGTCGCTGGCAGGGCAAGGGCGTGCAGAGGGAGCAGGAGGGATACATGATGCTCAATGGAGGAGAGAGAACAGCAGAGGAGGGCGAGTGGGACGAGGAACACGACCCTCGCGCACGCTCTCATCCGGCGCGGTCACGACTACCTGGTATCTCGACCATCGTCTGGTACGCACAGTGCATCGTCTATGCATACATTGCCCTCTATGGCTACTTCAACTACAAACATTACGAGTATGAAGGCGACCTTCGCTACCGCCCTGCTCTCCAGAAGGCCCTGGCCGACCCCCATCGCCGTCCGTCTGGCTACGCCCGCGGCGAAAAGATATTCATCGCAGCCGCCTTCCACCAAAACGAGGCCGTCATCCCCTACTGGACGCGCACCATGCTTGACACTATCGTCTACCTCGGCGCGGACAACGTCTTCGTGTCCATTGTCGAGAACTACTCTTCCGACCGCTCGCCTGACCTTCTTCGCGAGTTTGCGAGCGAACTTGACCGTCGTGGTGTGCGCAACCGCGTGCTCGTCCAGGATGAAACCGTCAAGAAACCGTCGGACGTGCAGTGGAACCCGCGTATCGAGTTCCTCGCTGCCATTCGGAACCAGGCCCTTGAGCCGCTCCTCCAGACGGGCGGGTATGACAAGGTCCTCTTCTCCAACGACATCTACATCGAGCCCGAGTCTGTCGTCGAGCTGCTCGAGACGCGTGGCGGAGACTTTGACTTCGCATGCGGACTGGACTTTGGCCATTTTGGCGCGTACGACATGTGGGTACTCCGCGATCGCGTCGGACGGCTTACCGCGGGCATCTGGCCGTACTTCTTTGATACGGCCGACTACGAAGCCATGAAAGCCGAGGAACCCGTGCCCGTCTTCACTTGCTGGAACGGCATCGTCGTGTTCCAGGCGGACCCTCTCCTCCCCGTGCATCTGCGCTCGAACCGCACACTCTCCACGTCTCCACTCCCGTCGCCTCCACCCCCAAACCATCCCTGGGCGAAGAAGGTGGCCGACTCTCCGGCGCTGACGCCCCCGCTCGTGTTCCGTGCATCCGCGGAGGGCGAGTGCTACTCGTCCGAGAGCTTCCTGCTCCCATACGACTTCCGGAGGATCATGGGTCTCGGCAAGGTGTATGCGAACCCGCGCGTCATCAACGGGTACGTGTGGAAGTACTACGTTTGGCACAAGTGGGTGCTCCGCCAGCGGCACGTCAAGTGGTTCGTCGAGCAGGTGTGGGACGGCGCGTGGATGCAGTATGCGCGCATGATTGTGGGAGACCCGAAGCAGGTATGGACGTGGGATGGGGTCGATTGTCATCCCTGGTGGTGAGCTTTCATAGGAGAGCAGGGCTGTCATGTATTGCCCACTGTTCTATGCATGTATCTTACGCTCAGATGCGCCGTTAGATAGAGGACCTGCTTAACAACGTATGAGCAATGCACGCAGCTTACGATGAAATCAGCGCCGGAGATCCACAGTTTGTAGGGGGGCCTAGGTGTACTGCACATCAGCACACGGTGGACGTTCAGCGACGAAGAACGAACAAACCTGAGCACCCCGGGATCTTCCCTCACAACGATGCCCTACAGAATCTAAGCAACCTCAAGCGCCATAGGATAAATACATACTTACCCGTCGTGACCGCCATCGACGTCATACTCGAACTATGTTAAACGAGTCAGATACAAGACCTGTTCTACTAGTACTACGTAGTCCAGGAACTGCTACGCCTCGCCACCAGATTTACGATGGCAATGCGACTCCCCTCTCTCTCTGATCCTGTCCCGCCGAACGCAATTTCAGCCATCCGATTCTTGACGTCCTTTCTTCATGAGCTAGAACCTCTTGAAACTTTACCAGATGGAACGGTTCGACCCGTTCAACCGTTCAAGGTGCCGCGGCCCAACAAGGCCATCACCCCTTACGCTCACTTGGCTACGATGCTCAACCTTGGCGACCCGAAAGCCATGGTGGTTGCCGTCACCGGTTGCCTTCATCCTGATCAAGAGCCAAAAGCCGTCATTGTAATCTCTTCGAACTCCGGTGACCAGTCCGAGTCCAAAGTCAACCTTTCTCGTGGTGAGAACTCCTTCCTACGCGTCGATACTTCCTCTTCTTCCGAACATGAACCAGGTTTCGCTGTTCAAACGATTACCCCTAGCGAGCTGACGGTCGAAAGTGTCAGGGAAAACAGGTGAGTCTCGCCAACCGTTCCAAGTTGGACATGTACTAAGCTCTCTCGATCCACACAATCAGCACAGAGAAAACTCACATCATGCAACATGTTGCGGACGTCATGGCCGTTCTCCAACTTGCATCGGTTCCTATGCCATCGTCGGAAGATGGTGTTCCCCAGTACGCCCACAAGATCCTGGCATGGGGATATATCATTAGCTCTCACCTAGAGGTAGAACGCGATGTATCACGTCCTCTCATTAGAGTACACCAGGATATATCACCCCGCCTCTACTAGAGATGGCCCCCCGCACCAGCCCTGCCGCCCCTGCGCATGCTCTAGCGCGTGCTGGTGACTCACACCGCATCCCGCGCCCGCCCTCCTACCCAAAGCGGCGAGGAGCCTATCTCCCGAAAGCGGCACGTATTGGCACTCCGCAAGCGTGCCCTGATCCATGCTGCATTTCACCGATTAGGCAGCTATCAATGTCCGAAAAAGTGCGGCTACGCGACCCAGCACTACCACGCTGCGCCGCAGGAGAGGACCTATAAATGTCTTCCCATTGGCTGAACGCATGGCCACGGGACCGCGCGCTACTGCGCCGCGCCGCAAGAGAGCACCCGTAAACGTGCTCCCATTGGCTGGCCCGGTCCACAGTGCTGTTTGGGAGCGCGCAATTCAACCCCTCGCAGCCTGCGCGTGAAACCGCGACCCCTTTGAATGCACACAGAAAGATGCAGTTGGGGAAAAACAACTTTCATATATAAAAGAGCTACAAAAGAAGGGACTAAATAATACAAACATGACGGAACAACCGGGCGCGACGTGGTAGCGCTGGATCGCGCGGCTGCGCGCGACCCTCGTGCGTA